CATTAGAGCCTATAGTCTATAGGGGAAGTCAAGTGCTCCTGTGGGTTTAAGTGTGTGATTGGGTGTTGGTCTTTCGCATAGGTCAAGCATTTATTAAATGCTTACTGTGTACCAGGCACTGATCAGCACTGCGTTCCATGACCAATTTGCGCACATTGTCATTCATCATTTACAACGACAGTTTGGTAGGTGTCATTTTTTTTTTTAATTAAAAAAATTTTTTTTATTTTTTTAATTAAAAAATATTTTTGGAGAGCTTTTTGCTATAGGATGTGTGTGCTCACCACAGAGACACAGAAAAACAGAGAGTCAGAAAGCTAGAAATTATCCCCCACCGGGGGTGGGGAGTGGCCAGACCACAGTCCTTTCTCCTCCATTCTCCTCCTGGAATCTTGGGCACACATGCACATGTGCCTGGTGTGAATTTGAAGTCACCGGGTTTGGGACTTGAACTGTGGTTGGCCAAGTACTGTGACATAACTGCTATGCCATCTGCTGACCACAGTAGGTGTCATTAGACCTGCTTTTTTTTTTTTTTTTTTCATAGATGCCAGGATAAGTAGTTTGACTATAGCCACCAGACAAGGTCAGTCTGAAATACCTTCTTTGCCGTGTCTTCCTTTTCAATGTCTCTAAAAATAGAAGAGGTTTTCTTTGGAGACTTTATTTGCCCATCTAATTGCAGCTTCCCTCTTTCTGGAAAAATTAGGTCATAACCAGAGTTGAGAGGTCCACTTAAAATTTTTTCAGTCATTTTTCACATATTTAAAACTGAGTTCTCTGGTACAGGTAGGATATTGTCACTAGTCTTCAGTCATATAGAGTGACAAATGTTTCACCCAAAAGCTGCCCTCTCTCTGTCATATGTAGCTGGAGTCTGCAGACTTGTGGACCACACTTACCCCTAACTGATCAGAAGATAGAAACCGTGAAATTTCTTGATGTCGACAATCCAGTTGGCTTGCATTGGGCATTACAATGCCATAGGTAAATTACTCAAGTCTATTAAAAGTGAGTCTAGGGGTCCGTGAGATGCTCCCTGTAAACTTATGTCCCTGAAAAGAGAATGCTTGGCATTAAAGTGTTAGGTGTTGGCAAATTCCCAGTTAGAAGTGGGTATTGGGAAGGTGTTCAAATTCCTGATATCTGACTAAATCTAGATAAAGTTGTAATTATAGTTTTTATTGATTACTTGATTCCCAAGAAATTCTAGTTCACGCTATCTCTTCCCTCTGCTCTCAACTGATGTTATCTGCTCAAATTGTGGTACATCCTGACTGGTCTTCATTTTGAAACTCTTGAGAGCATCCATAAGTGAAAAGACCACAAGCATTGACCCATGATCACTTTCATTATTAATACAAGTTATGATTTTAATTAAGTTCTTGACAACCTAGAAGACCTACAGCCTCTTGTCAGATTCAAAAGAACACTATGCTTCCATAGCCATCCTTAGGTTAAACACTTATAAAAACTTATGAGGCCACCAGTTGCTGTGGTGGCTAAGATGCTGGACTCCCTCATGGTCAACTATGGTTCAAGTCCCAGACCTGGCAGCTTGAAAATAACACTGGGCTTATGTGTGTGCATGTCCAAAATCCCGAGAAGAGGGTAGAGGAGAAGGAATTGTGCTATGGCCATCCTCTCTGGGGGTAATTTCTTACTTTACCTCTCACTCTCTCTCTCTGGATGTCAGTCTAGGTCCATTATATAAGGTATAATGTGAAAAGTCAGCCCCTCCTGGCTTTTAACATTCAGTTCCCTATCCCGTAGATACCACTGGTTGACTTTCTGGATATCCTCCCACAGATAGTGAGTACATTTACACTTGAGATAGGTCAAGAGAAAGGCAGGAGGCTGATGGATTCACTACACTCTTAGATAGTTTGATATTTTTACCTAAAATAGAATTTGGAGGCCATTTGTACCAATGCATGCAGAACTGCTTGTATTGATGTAGAATCTATACCAATTCCTTTTCATACAAACACTCAGAGTGTCATTTTTTCACAGCTCCAAAATATTCTATCATATAGCTTTTCCGTAAATCTCTTTCCCCATTGAGGGACATCTAGCTTCCTGTTTTTTTTTTTTCTTGTTCCCATAGTGTCCTTGCTGTTAAAAGCAATACTGTTAAATCTCTTTTTCTGTACGTCTGCAAGTTTATCTGTAAGACAAATTCCTAGAAGTACAACTGCCTGCCAGATCAAGGATGGTGTGCATTTGAATTCTGATAGATATTCTGGCTCATAATAAATTTGTCACAATCATTTTCTGTATTTTTAATTTGCCACATACTCACCAGAGAAACAGGGAAAGTGACATAGCTCCCCCTCATGGTGGATACTCAAGCCATAATCCCTTCTCCTCTATTTTGCCCTGTTTTGGGGATTTGGAGATTTTGGCCAAGCATGCTCATGTACTCAGTGTGTTTTTCAAACCGCTGGATCTTGATTAGCCATGTGGGATCCAGCTACCTTAACCACCTCACCATGGGCTGACCCATGATTTCTAGTTTTCAATATTAGACCTGCTGGACTTTCTTCAGATGTGTGGAGATCTGTTTTGGTTGTGGGGGGCAACAGAGGCAGATATCACAATGTGGTGTTTTCTGTTTGCTAGATCATAGGAAATACCTGGGAGCAGGAACTTGTTAAAAAAGACATAGTCTCTGTTCTCCTTCCCTTACCCCTCAGCAATCAAGCCACCACCTTCAGAAGAGGGGCCTGAGAAACAGTTTGAACTGTTGCCAGGCAAATGTGGGAAACTGCTTGAAAAGGTAATCCCTCAGCTTTTGATGGGAGGCTTCCGGTGCACATAACTCAGAGTCCTGGCAAAAAGGTCAGAAATCCTTATTATCACAGATTCTTCAAAGGGTTAATAAACCATGGTAGTTTGTTCCTTGGAAATATTTTGCAAGGGTCTAGATGTGTCTTTCTGTAATAAGTAAGGTAAGATTGGTACTGAGCCACGTGGCCAGGTATAGGTGTATAGATAGGTTTGGAAGGTGGATGAACCTCCCATTCATGATCTATATGAACCTTCAACTATGTTTTACCTCAGAAGTGCTCCTCCTGGGATGAGCAGATGGTGTAATGGTTACGTAGCTGGACTTCACATGGCCAATGGTGGTTTGAGTCCCAGATTCAGTGGCGTGAACCTCACGCTGGGTGCATGTGCGTGTGTGCCCAAAATCCCCACAGGAAAATGGAGGAGAATGGATTGAGGCATGTCCATCTCCCTGGGGGCTGATTTCTCACTTTTTGTCTTTCTAGCAAAAATTTCTCTTAAACAACAACAACAACACACAGTGTTCCACCTTATAATAATTTCAGCGACTCTTGACTTTGGGGCGCTTTCTGTGTGCCTGACACTCTGCTATCTCCTTTGCATATGTTAGCTTTAACTCTCCTAAAGGTGCTGAGGGACAGGTAATTTCATACAAGGGAATTTTAGAAAGCTCATAGAAAAATGGAATTAAAAAGCAGTTGATTGATGTACAGAAAATTTTGAACTCTATGAGTAGTTTTTTCGTAATACACTTTTTTTTTTTTTTTTTTTTTTTTTTTTAGTATTTCTCTACAGCGAACA